GGGAGGAGGCGCCTGAGCAGGGAGCCGGAGAAGTGGCTCCTCCCGTGGGGGACCTGAGGGAACAGCCCAGGGAGGCCCACACAGGCAGCCACTGGAGAGGAGTGTCCGAGGCCAGCAGGAGGATGCCGCAGCAGTCCGAGGCACCCACGGAGTCATGGGTGCGACTCCCTTTGCCCCAGAGAGAAGGACACCCGGCTCACAGGACCAGCACCGAGATGGGGCTGGTGGGAGACCAGCACCGCCGAAGCATCTAAACCGTGTAAGAAGTGGCCCAGGACAGGGAATTATTGTGAGTAAAATTCCCGAGAGGGGTGGTGAGTACTTGCAAGACACTCACGATTTGGGTAAGACCAAGGGGTCCTACCCTTTAGGGTCCAATGCCAGAACTCGATTGAGAGGGAGGGACCGAGTTCCCCTACCCCACTAATGACAGGACCAGAGGCTGGGTTAGGCATAGGCCCACCCAGAGACAAAGACTACAGGGGCTGTGGCTTGAACAGCCCCAAACTGGACCATGGACAAAGGGACACTTGTCAAGGAGAGGGGGCGCTAGGTCGGGACTTTTCTGTGCCAACCCCCTCTCTCCCGTCAGACCTAATGGCTCCCAGGTGGCGGGCCGCTGCTTTACAGGCTCTGCCTGGAGGGGGGGGGCGCTAGGTCGGGACTTTTCTGTGCCAACCCCCTCTCTCCCGTCAGACCTAATGGCTCCCAGGTGGCGGGCCGCTGCTTTACAGGCTCTGCCTGGTGGGACAGGCGCATCCACATCCCAACATACAAAAGCCAAGAGAAAAACCCGGGACGGGGCCTTCCTATGGTGTAGTAGGGTGTCCACATCCCACACAACCACGGGGAGGGTATCTGGGTAGATGACAAGGCCTATAGTAGAAGTCAAGGCAACTTACAGATGAAAGAATGCAATGATTTAGCTAGCTTTCCTCTGCATGGTGCAGAAGCCTGTCAGTGTATCATCCCCAAACAGAGAGCTTAGTCGAGCATTTTAACCGGAATCTAAAGGGAAAGATAAAGAAGTTTCCCCCAGTAGATGTGCAACAGTGGGACCAACTACTGCCTCCACTGCTGCTTGCTGTACGAGAGGTGCCACAAGCTTCAACCCAGTTTTCGCTATTCGAGCTTTTATATGAGTATCGTCCCCAGGGTACCTTGGATCTCATGAGAGAGACTTGGGAGCAGACCCCCTCAACATCACAAGGGCTTCTACAGTATGTGTTAATTGCTCCTGGAGCAGGAAAACAAGCAGGAGCCCTGGCTCAAGAGAACCTACAAATGGCCCAAAACACCCTGGAGCAGAACTACAACCGCCAGGCACGAGAAAGGAATTTTGAGCAAGGAGATTGCATGCTTCTACTGCTCCCCTTAGAGGTATCCAAGCTTCTTTGCCAGTGGCAAGGGCCCTACAAGATCATCCACCGGCTCAGGTCTGTAAACTATGAAGTCTACCGGTCGGATCGGAGAAAGAAAAACCAGATATATCATGTCAATTTTCTGAAATTATGGTTAGACCGGGGCACTCTGATGATCACGCAGTACCCATCTGAACCTGCTCTGGGGCCTCAGATACCCGATCCAGCAGACGAAGGCAAGCCACAGCTTGGGAACACCCTGTCGGAACCTCAAGTAAACCAGGCACGACGCCTCCTAAAAGCCTTCCGGGAGACCTTCACTACCAGACCCAGACGGACCACTGTGATAACACACAGCATTCAGATCCCGCCTGGACAAGTCGTGCGGGAAGGTAATCGCCCCCTGCTGCGCCAGATGCGGGAGGTAATCGAGCAGGAGGTTCGCTCTATGCTGGAGCTGGGGGTGATAGAACGCTCCAAGAGAGAGTGGCGTAGCCCGATCATGCTAGTGCCGAAGCCGGATGGCAGCATCTGCTTCTGCATTGATTTTAGACGGGTTAATGTGATTTCTAAGTTTGATGCCTACCTGATGCCACGAATGGACGAACTTTTAGACCGCTTAGGGACTGCCAATTTTATAACTACCCTTGGGTATGTCTATACTACCACCCTAGTTCGAACTAGGGTGGTTAATGTAGGCAACCGAAGTTGCAAATGAAGCCCGGGATTTAAATATCCCGGGCTTCATTTGCATCTTACCGGGCTCCGCCATTTTTAAAGCCGCAGTAGTTCGGACGAGGAGTAATGGTAGTTCGGATTAGAGAGCCTAATCCGAACTACCTACTCCGTGTCGCGTGTAGCCGCGGGCACGGAGTCCGAACTACCGGGGCTTTAAAAATGGCGGCGCCCGGGAAGATGCAAATGAAGCCCGGGATATTTAAATCCTGGGCTTCATTTGCAACTTCAGTTGCCTACATTAACCACCCTAGTTCGAACTAGGGTGGTTAATGTAGGCAACTGAAGTTGCAAATGAAGCCCGGGATATTTAAATCCTGGGCTTCATTTGCAACTTCAGTTGCCTACATTAACCACCCTAGTTCGAACTAGGGTGATAGTGTAGACATACCCCTTGATCTTACAACAGGATAATGGCAGATTCTCTTGGGCCCAGAATCGTGGGAAAAGACCACTTTCAGAACTCCTTCAGGACTATTTCATTTTGTGAGAATGCCGTTTGGACTTCATGGGGCACCTGCAACATTCCAGAGAACAATGGACCACTTGTTATCCCCACATACAGAATATGCCGCCGAATACCTTGGTGATGTGGTGCTCTACAGTCGAGACTAGGAGGAACACCTGTTATAGGTAGCGGCCGTAATGCGGACCCCGAGAGATGCCAGCCTGATGGCCAATCCCAAAAAAGGTAAAATTTGTTGGCAAGAAACAACCTACCTGGGATATCAGATAGGAAGGGGCCTTATACGTCCACTAATAGAGAAGGTGGAGGCCATTCAAACCTATTCGGTTCCCACCACCAAGAGGAAGGTGAGGCAATTTCTAGTGTTGGCGGGATACTATCACCACTTCATACCTCCGTTCGCAACCCTAGCAGCACCCCTCACTGTGCTCCTCATGAAGGATAGCCCCCAAAAAGTCAAGTGGACGGCCGAATGTGAAACTACTTTTCAGGTGTATTTCTACACTACCCTCCTAGTTCGTCCAGGGTCTGACAGCTGTGCTCTGTAGTGAGCTGGTGCTGTTCAGTCCAGACTTTTCCTGACCGTTCACCTTCTAGACAGACGCATCGGACTGCGGACTGGGAGCAGTGCTGTCCCAGGAGATTAAGGGTGAAGAACACCCAGTGTAGTACATCAGCCAAAAACTGTTTCCCCAAGAATGCAGATATGCCATGATCAAAAAGGAGGCCCCAGCGATCAAATGGGCCATCAAGGCACTGCGTTATTACCTCCTTGGAGACTCTTTCATTCTTTTTACAGACCACACTCCCCTAAAATGGCTCCACCGAATGCAGGATACTAACAGCCGCATCATGAGGTGGTGCCTGTCCCTCCAGGCCTATGTGTTCACCGTCAAGCACTCCCTGAGAGGAAGAGCAAAGGCCCAGTCCCAGAAGCCGGGAACAGGACTTAAGGGGAGGGGGTGTAGTAGGGCAGACTGGCCGCCCGTTGAGCCGGAGGCGGAGGAACCATTTTGGGAGCCATTTTGGGCCCAGCCTAGCCCCTCCCAGTCATCTGACCAGAAGCAAGGGAGCATGGCTAGGGCTATCAGTACCCGGCCAGGGAGCTCAGTCAGGCCCCAGACTCAGTGGGAGACAGAGGCCTGCCCAGAGCTCTCTGCCACAGAAGCCGAGACCTGGCTCGGGCCTCCCACAGCCGCTGGTCCAGAAGCCTACCCCGAACTCCTGGACTGGGAGCCAGAGACCTGGCCAAGCCTGCCCTCTGACCAGGAGAAACCACTAAGCACTCGGGAGGTCGATTATTCGCATCTGCAGGGGTCGTTTGCGGCATCGATCTACTGTGTAGTGACGACAAGCCCTTAGTTCTTTGGGGACTACAGGGAAAGAAGGGCACTCAGTAGGAGCAGGGAGAGAAGGGACCTACACATGGGAGCCTCTTATGAGTTTCTCAGACCCATGACTTATAATGGTGGGACAACTCAACGATCAGCAGGAGAGTTCCAAGGAAACTCCACGGCTACGTCTAGACTGGCCACATAAGACGGAATAGGCATGCAAAGCAGGCAAGTCAGAATAGGGAAATCCGCGGGGGATTTAAATATCCCCCTGCAGGGTTTAAATAAACATGGCCGCCACTTTTTTCCGGCTTGGGGAATAAGAATAGGAATAAGAGATCCTCCGGAAAAGGGCTTTATTCCGGAGGATCGCGCCAGTCTAGACGCTCTTTTCCGGTTTTTCCCCAAGCCGGAAAAAAAGCGGCAGCCATGTTTATTTAAATCCCATGGGGGATATTTAAATCCCCCACGGATTTCCCTATTCTGACTTGCCTGCTTTGCATGCCTATTCCGTCTTATGTGGCCAGTCTAGACGTAGCCCACAAGTTTAAATTCATAAGGTTTCCATTCCCCAATATGAGAGCAAAACACATGGAGGGAAGGGGTCATATAGCAGTACAGTGGATGATTAGCTCTATAATGGCTCATTTTACTTCTCCTTATACTTTTTTCTCACACCAGGAAGGCTACTGAACATTGTTGCTTAGCAAATCATTCACGATAATTTAATGTTTCCATTAACATCTCACAAAACGAGGGTGAAACACCTCACCACTTGTTTTTCAATTCAAATGAATATTGGCAGAAAATGTGCTATTCTATCAGCTGCAAACAATGCCACTATTTAAATAATTACGAAAGACGCTAATGGATCAATTCTGGGGAAAGTTTTAATATATTACTTCTGTGACAATAACATGCCTCATCATCTGCTGAATGTATAGTGTTGCTTAAAAAACAATGTTTGATCTCACTGTCTGGCTAACAATTAATCTTCTTTCACCCAGCACCAAACTATATTAATACCCTGCAAATCCCTTAGGTGTAAGTTACACATGATTTAGTATAAAATGTAAGGTCTGAAGCTTTGCTCTCTCTACAGCTATTACCAGCAAAACAGGTAGACTACAGGTGAGTTCATTAGGGTTTTTATTTGAGATTGCAAACTTACATTCAATTGCTTTTTAAAAAATGGATTATTTCTTACTGTTACTCTTTCCTTAGTTCTAATGTATTTATAGTATTTTTTATCAAAGGAAAGCTACCAGGATTTTTTGTAACAAGAATTGAAATATAATTTATTCATAGAAAATGTCTTGGTGTACTGTAATCATTTTCTCTCAAAGATTACTGGATATAGAGTTCTAATCATTTAACAAAACCAGTCTCCCTTAACAATAATCCCACAGCTGAATTTTGCTGAATGTGCTGTATGTTTTCACTGTTCCACAATGTTGCTGAAAATTTGTGTTTATATTAGCATTTGTGGATAATAGGAAGACCTAAGTTTTGTCTTTTCCTACCGAAATCTGATGTTGCAAATTATTCTACGTGTTCTTTCCAGAACGTCTGAACTATTTGCATTGTATCACAGGATGAAGACAATTAACTGTTATTTGCTGATACTTTGCTGGAAAGCAATTTGTGGCAATATCTGTGAGCTGTCCAATATCACTATCGCTGTGGAGAAAGAGGAGTGCAGGTTCTGCATTAGTGTGAATGCCACTTGGTGCTCTGGATACTGCTTCACAAGGGTGAGAATCTAATCTGTCAAAATAATGGGCAGGAATTAAAGACTCCCTAAAATGAATATAAACAAGCCAGTCTGCCAGCCTGTAATGAGTTACATTGGAAACTAGGCTTAATTAACTATTCTGTATTATGAAGTGGAGCTGTGTCTGCTACTTTTCTCAACAGCCCATGGGCGTGCTCAGCATTGTGCAAGCTGATACATGGAGGCAAATTCTGCTACCAGTGACGCAGGCATACCGCCCCCCAACATCACTGGGAATTGCTTCTGTCATGGACAGCAGAATTTGACCTCCGTGATTATATCTGAGAGTTTGCTGCACTTGATAACAGTGTAAATTGAAAAATGTTAATCTTAGTAAATTCTGAGCGCCATTCCGGTAGAAAGCCTGACAAGTACTGTGAAATGAGAATGAGCATACGTGATTGATTATAAACTATGCATTTGTTTTCTCACAGTACAGATACTAACACATCTTTCTTGTATTACTGAGTGTAATGAGCATAGGGCTTTGAATGTATCAGGAACCAGAAACATGGAAAAAAATTAGATTCAGAAGATGGCCCCAATGCTTGAAAGTTTAGCTCCAGATTGATCCTCCTCTCAGTTTTAAATGCTCACATTTGCTGTCCCAGTTTGATCCATTAGAGAGACAGGACATAATCACAACATTTGTATGCCTGAAAATGGCCACATTTTGACTCCAGCCTAGTGCTCTGCCTTGTGCTAATTTCTATTTAATACAGAGGTGGAAAAAGATATAAGTGTGTGGCTGCCCTGGAGTTTACATGTCCAATCATTACCAAATAGACATCTGTGTCTTTCATAAAAGTTACTTTGAGTTCTAAAAACAATAATCCTGTAGAGTTACAAAATAGCTGCCTGTGTTTACCACATTGATTCTTTGAAAGGAGAAAACTGGAAGACTTGACTGTAATTTTAAGCCTAGCAAGTCATTGGGATACTTTCCATTGAGCTCACTGTGCTTTGGGTCAGATCCTCCATTCAGATTCTAGTTTTTGCAACTCTGAGAAACAGCAGAGGTCTCAAACTAATTTCAGATCCAATATTTCCTTCCTGTCATTTTCAGGATCCAGTGTACAAATACTCACCAGTGTCATCAGTTCAGCAAATTTGTACTTTCAAGGAGCTTGTTTACGAAACAGTGAAGATCCCTGGCTGCACTGACCATGCTGAATCATTTTATTCATACCCAGTGGCTACCGAGTGCCACTGTGAGTCGTGTGATACTGACAACACCGACTGCACTGTGCGAGGCTTAGGGCCAAATTACTGCTCCTTCAACCAGAACCAAGGCAAAGAGTAAGGAGTACTAGAGATGTTAGTATAGTTTTGGTTTTCTGTTTTAACTATTTAAACATTGTATTGAAATGGTACAAAGAGGGTAGGAGAACAAACACATTTATTTACATACAGCCAAGTTTTAAACAGTTATATTAGCAATATATAAAATGGAGAGCAATATATTGTATTTGTCTCCAGTGGCTTCCTCTCACATTACAAATTAAGGTCAGTTTCCTTTTGATCCATTTCATGGCCTTTCTGACATTTCTACTCTTACCTCATTCAACACTTGTGTCTCCCAACGGGGCTCCATTTGTCTGCTACTGCTCTCAGCTTTGCTTGTTATCCCAGCCATCCCTTTTGCTTCAGACAGCTTCCCACCAACCATGCACCAAGGAGTTTTTATCTTCTCATTCCATCTCCTCTCAGAACACATTTATTTTGAAAAGCCTTCCATCATTGATAAACTTCTCAGCAATGTCTGCATGAATATTTTTAACTGTTATCCTGTATATCTTAATTATCTAAGTTACGCTATAAGCTTTTCTGGGCAGGGACCTTTATTTTTAATGTGTTTGCAAAGCTTAGTATACGCTAGTGATAATCTAAAAACATTAATAGCCTGTTCATTATAGGGATCTAGCAACAAAGACCTGGACTAATATTTGCAGATAGGTCTTAGAAGTAGGTCAACATTGCAAGTAAACACCTGCAGCTGGCCCAGGTCAGCTGACTTGGGCTCAGACTACTGATTTGTAAAACTGCTGGAGCCTAATCTCTGTGACCCTGCAAGAAGGGAAGGTCCCAGAACATGGCCGCCAGGCTCTACACCGCAACTAAATATCCCCATAGCCTCAACCTTGCAAACCTGCATCAGCTGTCATTGGCCGGCCAGACGTGTTGCACTACAGTATAGACCTACCCTTAGTGACTTAGGAGCCTAAGTTCCATTTTGGAAAGTGAAAGTCAATTGAAAGACACTGAAATTAAGGCTCCTAAATGACTTTGAAAATTTTACCTCAAATCTTTTCAGAGTCATCATATGTCTCCTTCATTGTAGAATTCTATACAAGAATGATGGATCTTTCTCACCTAGGCCTCAGTCTTACAAAGACTCAGGCTACATCTAGACTGCAATGCTTTTCCAAGATACCAGAGGTATCCCAGAAGAGCAATGCCATGTCCAAGGAATGCATCCACTTTTCGGAAAAACATTTGAAAAAGTGGAAATGCTTTTTTGCCATCCCTATAAACCTCATTTTACGAGGAAAAAGGGATATTTCGAAAGAGCACTTTTTCCCCCCAAATTTGGCACTGTGTAAACATGCCAAATTTCGGAAAAGCCTCTTTCAACAGTAAAGCAGAAAAAGATATGCAAATTGCATACCACAAATTGTGTTTCTTTTTCCAACTTACCTCTGCAGTGTAGACCCAGATACACTGTTTAACTTTAGATAACAATGCATATAATTATGCACATAGAGAATTCTTTGGAGAATTGAGGCCTTAGATTGGCAAGATCCCTTATTCTTCCATACAGTTCCACAAAATTAACATGATAGTAGATTTTTAGATCTTTACAACAGTTTCAGATTCAACAACTGTCTTTTTTTGCAGTGATGGTATTAGTTTAGTATTGATTCTGTATAGTATATTCCTCAGACTAATAGAGAAAATGATTTGTCCATTGTATATACCAATAGATATTAATGCTTAAAGTGTTTTTGCATATACTTACCTAGGGAAGATTTTCTTTTAATAGGGAAATCTCTCTTAGCCATAATACAGGCAGTCCCCGACTTACACGGATCCATCTTATGTCGGATCCGCAGTTATGAATGCGGCTTTTCTTGCCCCGGAGTACACGGGCAGACCAGGAAGATGTGGAGCAAAGCCGTAGAGGGACTTGGGCAGCAGAGCAAAGCCTCGGGGGAAGCTGGCAGGGGGGCAGCCCAGACGCGCCGCGGCTGTCCCGCTGCCGGGTCCTCAGAGTCTTTGCTCCCCGTCTCCCTGGTCTGCTGGTCTCTAGCAGACCAGGGAGACTGGGAGCAAAGCCGCGGAGGACCTGTGCGGCGGGACTGCGGTGCGTCTCGGTCCGCCGCCCGCGTCTTCCTGGTCTGCTGGTGGGGCGGGGGCGCAGCTAGTTCCCCCCCCCAGCAGACTAGGCTTTTCTCCAGACGCCTGTGGCAGAGCAGCTGGGGCACTGCCGGTTGGTCCCGCAGCGCCTCTCTGGGCGCTACTGGACCAACCCAGCAGCACCCCAGCTGCTCTGCCCCAGGCGTCCCCAAGTCAGCTGCTGCTGAAACTGATCAGCGGCTGATTCCAGGAAGCCCGGGGCAGAGCAACTCTGCCTCGGGCTTCCTGTAGTCAGCGCTGGTCAGTTTCAGCAGCAGCTGACTTGGGGTTCTTAAGTTGATTCTGTATGTAAGTTGGAACTGGCGGTCAGTTTCAGCAGCGGCTGAATCTGGACGCCAGTTCCGACTTACATACAGATTCAACTTAAGAACCCCAAGCGTCCCCAAGTCAGCTGCTGCTGAAACTGATCAGCGGCTGATTCCAGGAAGCCCGGGGCAGAGCAACTCTGCCTCGGGCTTCCTGTAGTCAGCGCTGGTCAGTTTCAGCAGCAGCTGACTTGGGGTTCTTAAGTTGATTCTGTATGTAAGTTGGAACTGGCGGTCAGTTTCAGCAGCGGCTGAATCTGGACGCCAGTTCCGACTTACATACAGATTCAACTTAAGAACAAACCTACAGTCCCTATCTTGTACGTAACCCAGGGACTGCCTGTATTTAATTTATTTAATTTCTACGGTTTTTTTACTGAAAAAAAAATTGTTCTTATCACAATTTTGTTTGTGAGATGTCATTTTGAAAGTCTATTGCTCTACTGAAGTTATGAGAGACAGAACAATAATATGGATATTGAACCTGATTCTCTTTATGCTTGAACTACTTTTATACTAGTGTAACTCCAGTAATGTCACTAGAGCTACTCCTGATTTTCCTTGGTGTGAGATCAGAATCAAGGTTATTACTCATACTCATCCCCAAACCACCTCTCATTAGTCAGGCAAGGAAATTTATAACTGAATAAGTATTGCAAGACCTGGTCTTTATTTGCCTTCAAAAGTGCTTCTGTAAATTCTGTCTGTGCCTGTTTATGCCATTTGGAATATTAAAAAGGATTTTGTTGCATTTGCGTCATTTTATTCACTGGTCTTATTGAGAAAGTTGCACTCCATCTATGCATTTATTTTTAAAATACATTTCTTACATAGAATTCTTCAAATCATTGATTTTCTTCTCATAATTGACATTTCAATATCTCATTAGTAATTTGCTAACCTAAACTGTATTTGCATCGACTCAGTATTGGGCCAGATGGAATCACACAACCTTTTGTAAAAACACAGATACATTTTATCCAATAGAGGGCAGTGCTATATTGCATAATTTTAATTAAGTGGGCCAGAGACTCAAAATCAGGATTATAATGAAAGTCTTGAAGTTTAAAGTTTAAAACAGAAAATGAAGATTACTGAGGTGAAAGAAATGTAGGTTACTATCATACCTCTGACATGATTGTTACTGACTGCAACCTGTCACAACTTTAGTTTATATCCTATCTGTACTACCTGTACCTGGGCTTTGCCTCAGAAAAGAATGAAGGGACAGAGTTTCTCCCACACAATTATTACACCATTTCAATCAGCATTATTCCAACACATTCCTCTTAAGTTGTGAAATCCAAGAGTTTCTCTCACAGGACATTTTGGGAAAGCTACCTGTAAATCATGGTTTTAAAATGCCACAAATTTACCCAATGCCACATGTCAGTACTAGAGATGTGGAAATAAAGAATAACAAATAATGTATTTGCTGAATTTACAATCTTTTTTGTCTGGCTTTGTCTACACTGCAGGGTTTTGGCGCAAGAACCTTTTGCGGAAGTGATCTTCCACAAAAACTTCTTGCGCAAAAGCACATCGTAAAAGCCATGTGCTTTTGTGAAAGAGAGCTTCCACACTGCATGGACACTCTTGCGCAAGAAAGCTCTGATGGCCATTCACAGAATGGCCATCAGAGCACCTGTGCTTTTTCTGATAGGGGTTTCTTGCACAAAAACCCCTCCAGAGCGTCCACACCTGTCTTTTTGCACAGGAGCTGGAGTGCAAAAAGGAGTTATCCCTCGTGGAGAGAAGAGTAACTCTACCAGCAAAAGCTCTCTGTTCTGCTGATTTACTTGCACAAACACGCACTTGAGGTGTGGACGCTCCACTGGTTTTTGCGCAAAAACCTTGTAGTGTAGACAGTCTCTGTGACTTGCTCATGAGCAGCTTGTGAGTTCATAAGCATGTTCACCAAAACCTATAGTCTCAGCTATACAGAGGGCCACCTGCCCAAGGCTTGTCCAGTACTCTTCTTGAAGGCTTTTCATTGATTTCACTGAGTTTTGCATCATGGTCTTATACAGAACCCAAACGGAGCATAGGCCTTTAGCTGGCCCTCTGCACTGAGGTGAATGTCACCTCTAAACATTTCTTTGACTAGAGTGTTCACCAACAGGTCATTGTCAGTAGTTGATCTTCAGAGATCTGTTTCTACTGGTTTGTTCTGATTGGACACATACTACAGATAACATGTGATAGCTTTTATTCTCCATAGATATTAAGATCAGAAGTACGCATAAAATCACTTAGTCTTGCCTCCTGTGAGGGGTGTGATTGGGTTAGATCACAGAAGTCCCCTTGGGGTTGTTCCTCAGTATGTTGGTCATGCCACTGATGCCCACCTTCCTGCCCTCTGGGGCACCCCAACACCCAGTCCTGCTGGACCAGATCCTCTGGTCTCCTCCAACCAAGGCACAGAGTTGGAGTTACTGCCACCCTGCAGAGCAACACCGACACTGAATCAGTTCAGCTCCAGGGGGGCTCAGATATAAGCACTCAGCACCCAGGAAACCAACCCTCAAAAATAACCAAAACCTCAGATAAATCTATCTTACTGTTGTAAAAGTTTTACACAGAGAAAACTCATAAAGATGCTCACCCCACAGAAAAACATAGGGGTTATGTCTAGACTGGCCAGTTTTTCCAGAAATGCTTTTAACGGAAAAGTTTTCCGTTAAAAGCATTTTCAGAAAAGAGCGTCTAGATTGGCATGGACGCTTTTCCGCAAAAGCACTTTTTGCGGAAAAGCATCCGTGGCCAAGCTAGACGTGCTTTTCCGCA